TAATATGAACAGTAATCAGCTACTGCATATACACAATGCAACATTATGTGAATCCACTTTTCATTATCTCTTGCAATTAGAAGTTCCTACTGAAAATAGCGACCAGATAAATCGGTCTATACTGTTCATTTAGCCACTTCTGAGTTTTATAATTTTTCCCTTTGGGGTCTGGTGTACAAGTACACTTCTGATTCCCATCCTGAAGCAAGTGGAATTCATTTCAAAGTTATTAGCTTTTACAGGGATTAGAAAAAATAACACAAACAACAAATCTAAACAGCAAAACTATATAATAGAATTCACCACAGGAACACAATAAGCTAAAGACTCCAAATAAGGTAATCACAACTCACTTTCACAATCTCAATAAATATAGAACACTACACACTTCATAAAGGTAGGAGTTTTTGCAGGGGTTTCGTATTGTTCTGTGTTACACCTTTTTAAGAGACGAAGATCATCAGTTCAGCTTATTATCTTTGGGTCAAAACAGATGTAACAAGAAAAAAAAATATCTTCCCACCTTCTACTTGGAAAGACAGCTTGAGTGTTTGTCTCACAGGATGGAGACAAACTTACAGCAGTGATTTGTTATTTATAATTGAGACTGCGTTTTATTTTGATGCTAACACTCTTAACACTCTCTCCTAATACCATACAGCGACATCTGCGGCAGTAGTGTTCTGGGGCCTCATGTATAAAAGACTGTGCAGCTTTCATACTGAAAGGCATACTCACAAAAATGTATGAATAAATAGATTATGTATGTATGTATAAATGTATAAGTGGATGTCAAAAGAGGAGTGGCTGCACATCGGCAGAGTGTCGCTGCTACAGGTGTGGGCTCAGCAAAGCCAGAACTGACACCTGGTGAAGGAAGGGTCTTTGCAATTACAAGCCCTCATCTCTGGCATCTTGCCCACATGCGAGGGTGACTCAGACCTGTATGTTACTCCTTGCTGTATAACTGGCTGCACTCTGCTTTGGTGGACCCGGGTCAGGTTCATGCATCCACAGCTCCTGTGGCAGAAGCAAGCCACAATTGTGAGTGAGTGCATTTGTCCACCTGGCACTGCATTGTCTTCCTGGGGAGATGGGTCTGTGCGCCTCGCCTCCTGTGCTTCATGGATGTCGGTGCGCCTCAGCAGCTGTACAGTCTCAGACGTGCGTTAACATCTCCATGTTCCGTAAACAGAGAAAATTGCTGTTTTCCCTAGCGGTCTTGATGTTAGCGCAGTGAGTAAGGTATTTCATTTGTGGGAAATTAACCAGAGGGCGCACAATACGGGGATATAGAGGTTGCCTGTATCTATTTCCTAAGTGGATTTTTTTATTCATTAGAAACCCTCAGATTTAGGATGGTTATGGATGGTGGGAAAAATTGCATTTTCTCCCTGTTTGGGTTTTGGTCTTTCTGATGTTAAACATTACCCACATAAATGATCAAACTGTCATGGTGTATCAGTGGATGACATGATTATGGTTTTTCATAGACATATCACAGTAACTGGAGTGGAAACATTATTTAGAAACATTTGGCGAGTTTCAATACTTGGACGTTTTAAATCGCCAAGTTACAGAGTCAGACAAGAGTTTGTGGCTCTCACGGCTGGTCTAGAGTTTGCACCACAGCACGCACATTCTCATCATGTTCATTTTTATTACGTAATTTTATCCCACCGTGTGAGTGCAAACCAGCATATGCAACCCTTATATGCATACCGCCGTTTATACATAAGGCCCCTGCTGTGGCCATCAAGTGTATTGCTTATAGTTAGTTATATAGTTGTGGAATTGGATCAATAATCAGACTGAATTATCACTTAATTTACTCTTTGAATCGCTGAACAAATCAGAGACAGTGATTCAGAGATCTCGAACCAGGATAGATAACTGCTATGGAGGACCTGAGTTCCCCTTGCAATAATGGTTACGGAGAAATTCTGCTGAATATTGATTTTTATATTCCTGGAAGGTGAGCTGTAGCATCAGTGTAACTCACTCATCTTTTTCCATCATATGTATATAAAACTATCAGTACACTGCATGAATTACCCGATAGCACCTATAAAGATTTTCATTAGAATAAATGTGTCGTTCAGTCCAGTGTGTGTGAGCTGGTCTCTCCATAGCCATAAGCTGAATGTTGTTGCAAATGTGCCGTGTAATGTTTTAAATAAATCAACCTACAACATTTTAAAACACGTCCTTATTTTTAATTTGTTCACCTCAGCCTGATAACCACTAGAATTATAGTCATTCTGATGGATGGCAATGAGACAGATTAATCGACTGCTGTGCAACCCTCACTTATCTGATTTTTAGCGCTGCTCCTCCCTTTCTGTTCTTGAAAGGCAGAATTATCTCTCTAGCCGTAAATGGGATGTAATGTGTGTTTTAATGGAAAATTAGCAAAAGATTACACTTTTCTAGTTACACTTTGATGGAAAGAGACCTGTGAAACATTTTGGTGGGTTTAGTACACTTACGTATTCCATTTTTTTTTTTATGATGTGATAAACTATTAACACGTTTGTTTGATTAGTTTTATTTATATCTTAGTCCTATGTTTGCTTATGCCAACCAATAATACACCTAGCCAGATTTCTGTCTGGCTTCCTTTCATGTTCTGAGTCAACATCTCATCTGTGTCACCTATGGAATATGTTGTTGTTGAGAGATATGTCAGTCATGTTTTTCAAGCCCCTATATATCTCAGTAACAGCTGAAAAAGGTTTTTGTAGTTTGCCACAATTCACTTAAGAGGAGGAAGAAGAAAAGCAAGGAAATGAGGGTTGAAATTGCCCACTGGAGAACCAGAGTAGTTCTCAGTGCTTTTTATTGTTGGTAGCCCACATAGCACACTTTGTCGGTCAGGGAAATGGTAAATGTTCAAAGCAACTGGAGGCATTGTACTTCAGACAGTTCTGCCAAAGAGACTATATATTTTCTTCAAACACAAATGGGATAGCAATAAGTCGTAACCAATTTGACAACTGCCTCAAGTGTGAACTACTTTATCAACAGTATTTCCCCAAACTGTATAAATATACAGCTAACCCTACAGTTTCAGTCTGAGCTCCAATATTTGTCCTAGAAACATTCAGAGAAAAATATAAACTGTAATAGGTATACAAGTGAACTAATATATAGCTTGTCTCACAAGCACCATCTGGTTGATTAATGCTTATTATAGCCAGGCTGATTCTGGATTTTGAGGCTGGTACTTATATTTTGGAGTTGATAACATTATGTTGGTCTTAAAAAAAGGCGCACAATATAAAAGTCTTAATACGCATCACTTAGATTTCTTTTGTTTTTTTAAGGATTTTGATCAAGATGCATACTAATTTTACCATTTTTAACTTATCTCAAAATGACTTTAGTAGTCATCCCTCCCATATTTATTGGGTGGTTGATTTTCAGTGAGATTGATCTTAGTAGCAACATTACAGGACTTCAGAGCCAATTGAGTTTAATTGAGCCTCAGACAACTTTAATGTTGATGGCAATGTTATGGCTGAAAAACACAAATCAAATGGAATGTAGGAAAGGATAATGGATACATGTATATGTTTTTCTACATAAAGGCTAAATAGAACATTTTGTACACAGACCACTTTTTATTTGAATGTGGTAAATATCTAATTCCATTTCTATAAATCCCTTCTTTGTATTTATGATTGGCTAGCAGCTTTGTCTAGCCTTATAGTAATAGTAGTATATTCACAATGGGCTCTGTTGCAGGGTATGAAATATTCGTGTGGGTATCTACTGGTATAAACATATTGGTAAGTCTAAAGCCATGACTGACAAATTTAATCCTGCTTGCTAATGCAGTCATTAGTTGGAAACGTATCTCAAATCCATTCCAACATTTACGTGCCATCCAGACCTCACCAGCCCATAATCTTGCAGGTGGTGTTTATAAGACAACTGACAATTAATTAATTCAAGTCACTGGACAAATCTGAGACATTTCCAAAGGCTTAACATTGTTTAGTGCACTAACCAAGGGATATATTCATTGTAGAGATGAAATAAAATCATTCCTGTTATGTGTCTGCACTCCACTGTGCATGTTTGTGGTTGTTCTCTGGTTGATGTGGTAAAACACTGTATATTTCAAATTAATGTCTTTTCAAGGGACCAGAGCACAGTCTTTGGCTGCAAGGTGTTTATTCATAGCAAGACATTAAAGCCACCCTTGATCCAGGGTGTTTTAGCAAAGAGGAGTTCTCATATCATTTTCATGAGCCAGTAGCAAAGTTGCCCTATATCTGTAGGGAATGGGATCATGAATATTGTGTTAACCCAGAAAAGTTAAAATCCACGCATGCTTCCTTGTTCCCCTGATCCCTCAGCTTTTGTTGTTGCATTGGCCCATTGTACCCGAGTAGAGATCAAGGGGACCCCTGTCGGTTGTGGATTATTCCTTTGTAGAAGCGCCACTGTAGGGGATAGAGGATTAAAAGAGCAGACAGTGGATGGGGATTCTACAGGAAGTTAATTTGCAGCACACACTGCACATGGATTTTTAAAGTGGAGTATTTTCTATTGAATAGCCTATTTGGTGTAATATTTCTTTGTTTTATATATATAACATATCCAAGGCATAGACCCACATTAACTCTGTACTCATTCAAGGCTCAGTTTCAGTAAGTGCAGTACTGTAGGACTATGCCTCATTTGGATATTTATATCGTATATGGACAATTAACGCTGGAATTGCCTGTAGCCAGATGATGAATTTTCATTGTGTTTACATGTTTTCCCAGCTGTTGGAAGGGTTTAGAGGGCACTGCAGCTGAATGAATATGAAAGAATCATTGTCCTCTTTCCCTCAATTTTTGTTAAGGGCATATTGAAACCTGGCTGCTGCTGTAATATTGTCAGTGTTTCTAATTTTGTGTGCGCTATAGCCCCAATTGTTAGACAAAGGAGATTTCTGGGGACTAGTCTACATGTTTCATAAGCTCTTGTTTCTTTTGTTTCTGCAGGAAGCCATGGACCTCGAGGCTGGGCAACCTCATACCCAGAATGTGCTGCGAAGAACCAATCACCTGTGGACATTGCAGATGAACAAGCTTTGGTTTCGGAGGAGTACCAGGAGCTGGTGCTGGAGAAGTTCAACACTGAGTCCTCCAACCAGACCACAATGAAAAACACAGGAAAGACAGGTCTGCATCACAAAATGCAAAATTAAAATGTCTCTGTAACGGTTCTTCCTTATCATCATGCATTTCTGATGATACTAAGATGAGTGTAGATTTGGGCAATATGAAGGCAGTATATTGTGGGATGAAAATAAAGAGATGTTGCCATACCATTTAACGTCAGGTAGCTGTCCCTTTAACGTTTTACTTTTGGTTGTATTAGACCGTTGAAGGCAGTGTTGTAAATTGTCCAGCAGGAAAGCTTTATGGCAATAGTGGATTTACAGGATTTTTGCATCACTGTTATAAAGTACTTTAAGGATTAATTCACTGGATTAGCCAAAACCAGACATGTGGTCATTTTATCTATAAAATGCTTTAAATTGAATTTCCAGAAAGTTTACAGTTTCACAATATATATACTAACAAATAACAATGTAATATAAAATATATATTAAGTAATAAAAGTTGTGACCCATATCACACACTCCTAGTGTATAATATTCAATTTAGAAAGATATTCTTTAAATCAAGCTAAATTTGTATATATAGTAGAAAATCTGAACAGATTTGAAATACTTCCAATGGCATTTCAAAACCAAGCTCTGTTAATTCAGTGAAGCAGATTACAATCAAGCATAATAATATCATTCTGTTATAATTCTTATAAATCTATCTGTTTGTTTTAGTAATTATTTTATTTTCATTGCCTTCATTGTACTGCCTCTTGTTCCCCTCTGTTTCTCACCACCCTCTTTGCATCAGCCTGCATGCTTTGTTTACGGCAACATTTTGAAGCTTTCTTGATTAACTGTTACTTCAAACCATTGCCATTTTTTTTTTTCAATCAGCTAATCCGTAGACCATTGGTGTGAAAACCCTGACCTTAATTGATCTCCTCTGGTTTTGGCACTGTTTCTCTCAGAGAGTAGTTTCATCTTTTGCGTTTGATCATAATGAGAGTTGTTAGCCTCCATGACAACCAAGGCCACTGGGACAGCCAAGCGATCCTGCAGGCTGCTTATTTACAAAGATGGAAATAACACGGCTGGCTGTAATTTTGGGCACAAACAGTACAGAGGGAATTTTAGATTGCTAAGCACTGTAAAAATAAGAAAAATTGAACTATTATGCAAACGCTATTTAGAAGAGATCAGCTCAATATTTTGCAAATTCGTCTCACAGTTGTGCGAAATGGATTTAATATTAATAATAATATTAATAATTTAGTTTTTCCTAAATTACTATGACATAATTTGACGGGTAGATACAACAGCTCATTGAAACATCACATTTTTGACTGAATATTAAATTAAATATTACATTACCAAGATGTAATCTACTTTAGAACACACGTTTGAATAATATTTAAAGATGATAAATATCTGGACAATTCAATGATGATGGGTAGATCGATCCTATTATGGCTTGTTAGCTCTCTGGTTAAAGGTGTAACATTTAGGAAGATCTATTGGAAATTAAATATGATATTCATAGGTATGTTTTCATTAGTTTCTAATTACCTGAATATAGGAATTGATGTGTTTTAGCTATCTTGGAATAAGTCATTTTTGTCTACAAGGCTGCCATGCTGATCTGCCAAATTTCCACAGTAACCACTGGCTAGATAGATAGATAGATAGATATTTTACAGCCTGCTACACACTTCACATCCCATTCTCATCCCAGGTAGGGATGTCACAAGAACCAATACTTCGGTACCAAGTCGAT